TTATCGTATACCGAGTTAGAAGTACACTTTTGCGACATTGAAAGTTTTTCTTTATCATTTATACCTTTCAAAAACACAAATTCAAATATATAATGAAACGTGATAACAGTTAAATATATCATACCAGTTTACAAAGTCTGCGGCAATGTATTGTAGATTGGTGCAGCAAGAAATCTCAGATTTAGCAAGAACCACACAAATATGTACTTGATTTGGCCTTCCAAGCTAGATTCTACAAGCTTTTTGCTCGTTCCCGCGCGATCGCTGGACTACATAGCGATTATGGATTTGAGCTCCGCCCATTAAGGTGCACACTCCACCTCCAGATTGCTATTGACCTTCCCTGCTCCGTCAAGCATTGTCCATTTTTCGTCAAACACTGCCTATTTTTCCCGGTCTGAACAGTCTCTAAACCGGTTTATATGATGGGAAACCCCCACCACTGCTGTGCATGCGCCGCCCACCAACATCACTTGACCTCTACCCCACGCCAACCTTCACACTACTTTTCCTCGGACCACGGAAATGCTCTGGAACGAATAAATTTGGTGACATACTCCGCCCACATTCGGTGCACCGCCGTCCACCAATAGCACTTGATCCTCTTTCCTTCGCCGACCTCTAACCACCTTTTCACCGGTCTCGGGTCAGGGTCAACCCTACGTTGGTACAAGTACCAACGGGGGGGGTCGTAGTTTGTTGAAGTTTGTGGTGGGGGGGGGGTCGTACTTGTTTCGGTAGCACGAAATTACATGTGATGAGGTGAGAGCGCGCGGGAGAAAATTTGCCGTTTCAGCGTGCGTATACCCCCCCCCCCCCCCGCTCGACGGTGTTTTTCGAGGGAAAAATAAGTTGTGAAGAAGGGGTCGTATGAAATCTGTCGTGAAGGAGGGGGCTCGTAGAAATTTTGCAATAAGTCCCAACGATAAGACCGACCCTGTCCTGGACTGTTCTGGAACCCAACTTCGAAATTCTCGCTTGGAACTGCTCATTCTGATGCGGGCCATGCCCACTGTGGGCGGTACTCCGATTAGTTGATATGTATTATGGCGCAAGGGAAAAATCTCCAAGTACGACCCTCCTTCTCGACAACGTCGGCACAGACTCGGTTGGAAATAAAGCTGGGGAGAGCACTACAGTGAACCTTGTGCCTTCACTAAACCAACCAAATACCTAAGGAAAACATACTTCATCGAACAACTTTGTGCAGTCAACATACATTTCATCACAGGAGACGGCTCTGATTTCAAGCGTGTACCTGAAAAAAAAATAATAAACCCCTAACCATAGCCTGAAAAGAACACTTCTGTGAATTAGAACACATTCACGTCGACGCGATTCGAGTTAGACATTTTATGCAGCAGGGAAACACACATCATCCAAGTTTTCCAGGCTCGATTTCATGAGCTGACAAAAACCGTTCGCAGCAAATAAAAATTTCAGCAAAACATATCGCGTTGAAAGTGCAGGAAAGTTGATTATGACTTGATTATTTTACCTATAAACCAGTGGGCGGAAGTGGTGTAGTGGCAAGTGGCACGCTTACCACGCGAGCGGTCCGGGGATCAAATCCTGGGTCGTGAGTCGCCCGGGCCAACCAAGCCTTCCATCCCTCCGGGGTCGGTTAATTGGTACCAGACTTGTCTGGGAGGATAAAAACACTGACTTGTACACGGCTGGCCCCGCAAGTCATTGTATAGGCCACATCGCATTCAAACGCCACTACGAATGTACAAATGGAAGTAGAATGCGTGCCGCATCCCAAAAGGGATTGATCAACGGCAAATGCTTTATCCTTTATCCTTTATTATAGCTGTGACGTCAATTGGTAGTCTGACTTTTTGTGGGGAGAATAGGGATATTATCAGCTCCATAGTTCCAAAACAACAGAACTTGAAAATGGTCAGAAGTACTGGGCACTACCGTAGCAAAGACTGAAAAGAAAATGGAGGCACCAACAACCGGTAATGCAGGGCCTTCATTATGGGAGTTTTCTAGCCATTACGCGATGAACGCAGCACGTGAATGTGTTAAGAATTCTACCTGTTCACGTATCGATTCCGAGTTGAAAATCCCTAATAGATCGCAGCGACATACGCGTAGTTTTGCAACCACGTGGGTCTTGGCGCTTTTTCGTGATATAACTCAATGGATTTTGTACTGTATACTCGAGATCCGTAAGTTGGGGTAGGCGTGTCACCGGAAGTGACGTGTACTTGATAGAATCTATGTGGATAAGGGTGCTTCCAATATATATCGCGAGATATCAGCAAAGCATGCTGGCAGCGACTTACCTACGCAACCTTCTATCAAGTCCACGTCACTTCCGGTGACACGCCTACCCCAACTTACGGATCTCGACTGTAAATCACAAAACTTGTTTGATACAAAATTAATTGAAAAGTTACAGTGCCTAGAAGCTACCCAGGGGTACAGTTGAAGAATTGCGACCAAAGGACGTGACAGCAATAAAAAAAAAGCAGATTGGCACTATTTACCCTTTACTGCCCCACTCCTCAAGAACTGAGCCGGATTTTGATCGAAATTCGTCCATGACTGTGGATTTGGCTAGAAACTTGCCTTCAGGGGTAATTTGACCCGTAGAACACGAATATCATACCGGTTTAGAGCGAAAACGCTTGGCGCCCGCGCCACAGGCGCCGGCGCTATCACAACAGTTTTGCGCGGGCGCTCGTAGCGCAGGCTACAGGTTCACTCGTAACAAACTGATGTGATAATCATATTCTACGGGTCAAAATACCTCTGAGGACAACTTTCCAGCGAATTTGGGGATCCGAGATGTTCTGGCGCCTTTTGGCGCCGGCGCTTCTGACGCGAGCGCCAGGCGTTCTAGCGGTAAACAAATGTGATATTCGTGTTCTACGGGTCGAATTACCCCCGAAGCAAGTTTCTGGCCAAATTCACAGTCAATGACAATTTCGATAAAATCGCTTAAAGAGTTGTGGCCACCGCACTCCCGAAATCGCGCCGATCCCACGTAGCCAAAGTGCCTAACGTCGTGTCAAAATTGTTTGTGAATTCGTAACTTGTTTTTACTAACCGAGCAACTATTGTGTAGATAGCCTTGGATATAGCACGATAGTCGTCGAAGAGGTATGGTAAGCAGACCAGGTTTGGGCACAGCTTTATTGCATCTCGAACTATCATCCCATTTTGAAGTCCACAATCACGGGCAGCGTAACTTACGGAAGCCAATTCCGAAAAGCCAGCAGAAACACCCTGAGATAAAGTACATTCAGAAATATTGACATCGATGTAATTGCTAGGGCAAAGAATTTTTGGCAGCAGTTCCAAAAGATTGCTAGAAATTAATTTTTTATTTCCAACTGTAACATCCATTTACCATGGCCAGCCATCCGGAGGTAATAGTGTTCTCGACCTTTTTGCATCACCAGTTTGGTTTCGCACACTAACGCATGCGTTGCGTCGGGGTTACCAGCATCGGTGTGACATAATGTGATTTTAATGGCTTCGCTTACCATGAGCACTTGATCTCTGTTATTTTCCTAGCCCCTTCACATTTACCGGACCTCAGTCTGTCTCGTAACGCCAATATTAAATTCTATTCCCGCTCACCACGAAGCTCGGCAGAATAACCACGGGGAGCTGACAAATCTCAAATTTGGAGTGTGAAGTTGAATTTTCAGGTGGAATGGCTCTACATGGGAAATGGTCAAAAAAATGAGGAATGGGGACGATAACGTGGTGAACAGCATTGCAAGAAATTTTACTACCCAGGAAGTAAGTGCTACGCTTAAAATTAATTTGTATAAAAGACCTTGCTATGAGTGATCGCCACTGGCTTGCCAATCAAGTCCGGGCGGTCTCTCAAGGCAACGGAGACGAAGAAGCAGTCCAAGTCAACGTGGAAAATTACTCGTGACGTCAACCTGCAAATAAGAAGCAACCAAGTAGCATTTTCGAAGTTCCCATTCAATTTTTGCAGTAGGAAAACCTAAAAGACCTACGGAACGAAATTCGGAGACGCCAAGTATTTCAGACCAGCACGGCCAGAGAACGTGGGAGAGTCGCCTTCACGCATCGTGTTCACCCAATCCTTCATTTCTTGCGCTAAGGTTGAAATCAGATGAAGGCGGGATCTACAAAATGCCAAAACTTGAAGAGCAATGCAGCGTAAATTCAAGCTAAGAAGTACAACTAAGGCTCAGTAGTAGATGAGGTAATCTCCAAAGACAAACATTTCTAAGTGCTCCCCTAAAAACACTTCATCTCGCCGCACAATGGAAACTTAAGAGACCTATTCTTATCTGTTGCTAGCAGGTAAATACAGTTACATCAATTTTTGTCCATATTCGAAGGGTAGAGAGAAATCACAAAGGAGAATCCCACAATGCCGAGGGAGGGGATACTTACCTAGTGTAAAGACAGGGATCCCCTAACGAAGCTTATGACTTGAAACGCAATACCGTA